AGCTGTTGTTCAGCATCTTAGCTGTAGAGGGCAGCGTCACTGGCCCTCATATGTGGGATCCGAACCAGGGCCCTCTGGCATCCCAAGCCAGCTCTTAACCAATGCACCACTCGGCCGGCCCTATTTATAGTTTTCTGTCAGTACCCCTAGAAAAGTTTTCCATCAGAATATTTTAAGGGGTAGGGCTGGCCGAGTGGCATGTTGATTAGGAATTGGCTTCAGATGCCAGCTCTGAGCAGCAGGGCCCTGATTCAGATCCCACATGAGGGCCAGTGACACTGCCCTCTACAGCTAAGATGGTGAACAACAGCTCGACCTGGAGCTGGGCTGCCGTGAGTTGCCGGGGTAGGCTGCAGCCCCTGCTGCAGTGGGCTCCCGTAAGCTACCATGAGTGGCCAGCAGCCAGCATGAGCTGCCGTGAGCGGCTGTCCAATGGCCAGTGAGCATCTGCCTCAGCCGGGAAAAGCACAATGATAACACCAACATGGGCCAGTGAAGCGACGTCCTCCACAACTAGACTGAAGAACAAAAGGACAGCAACTCTTCTGTTCCCCTTCCCTGATTCCCCAAGGCTGTTCCCCTCCCCCAACTTCCCAATAAAATCTTTAAAAAAAAAAAGAAAGAAAGACTATTTTAAGGGGTAAACAATCAGAAAATCTGGAGTAAACACTCGAGTCACTGAGTCAATTGCTGATCTAGTCACGGAAGAGTTTAATGGCACAGACAGACATCCTATCAGTGGCTGGCAATAGTCACTATTCTCACATGGCTGGCACTGGGGTCTGGGCATCCTCAAGAGAAGTTTTATGAATATGAGACTGTGCTGTGTACCTTTCCAGGCCAGGAAGGCAGCTGTAGTGAGCTGCCTGATCCATCATCATGAATCAGCCTTGGCTGGCTTTAGGTCGATGTACAGAGACCTCTGTGTGCTCAGTTCCCTGGTTCTCTACTGTCTTCCCATGTCCTGTAGCAGCCCTTTCCATCACTTCTCTGTGCACGGACCACCATCTTTACTGCCTCCCCCTTCTCTCTCTGCTTAACAAGCAATGGTATCAACCCTCTATTCTCCATCAGTTTGGTTCCAATAATTTTTTTCTCTCTGAATGCAGAACAGTTACAAGGCCAATTCTTGAAATGACCTTACCAGAGTTCCCGATTTTGTATTCATTGTGTATGAGCTGTTGGTGTTTTGAGAGCCAAATTTTAAATTCCCAAACAAACGGACGCCGTCCTTAAACCATGTATATTCAGGAGCTGGATTTCCTTCTTTTTCTTGACACCGCAGCTCTACCACAGTTCCACTCAGAGCAGAATTGGGTACTTCGCATGATGGAACTGCTGGAGCCACTGAGGAATGGAAGTCAGACAGTATTGGTTATTTATAAGCTCAACCAGGATTTTAACAGCCAGGTAAAGGTGGACTTATCAGACATCTGTGACAGAGGCTGGCTATTTGTGCAAGAGCCCCATTTCCTTTCTTTACGGGCACACGGCGCATTTGCCAGCTCCTGAGCTGCCAGATGGAGTCCTATGCATGGTTCTGGCCAATGGAACGTGGAGAAAAGTGATATGCCACTTCCAGGCCCGATACGTAAAAGCTTCCTGCATAACTCTCCCTTCATCCCCTCCCCACCCCCTCCCACTACAAGTAGGTGTCCACACCCATAGTGACTTCAGAAAGCCATGCATTGAAGGTATCAGACCTACGTTAGTTTGAGTCTGTAATCATTTCATGAAGTACAATAACATAGCTCCACCACTACAATCTCAGCCCCAACTATTCAGACTTGCATTATACAAGAAGGAAACTTTTATTGTTAAGCCACTCACTGAGAATGCTTTTGTAATAATATCAAGAAAGCATCATGTTAGCTTATATAACTATTCTTTTTTAGAAAAACAATCTCTACTTTTCCCCCTCACCAATGGTTTTAACGTATTACCAACTATATTCAAAAGAAGTCAAACCTGAGTCTATTTTTCAGGCCCAGTACTTAAACTAAAATCTTATTCTGCCTAGACTTAGCCAAATTAGAGAATACCTAAGTTGGGGTTATTTTGGTCCCAGGGATTTGAAAAGTAAACCAGACTTGACCAGGTGACTTAAATCCAGGAAAACCCAGAATTCTAAGCGGTAGGCAGAATTCTAAGATGGTCCCCCATCAGCGCTGCTACATATACTCTTTCTCTCATTCCATCAAATGCTAATCTAGGTACTACTCTGAAGGGATTTTGGAGATGTAATTAAAGCCCCAAATTCACTGTCTTTACAACAGGGAGCTTAAATAGATAGACTGGCCCAAACAATGACCCCTTTAAAAGTGGTTTTCCCTGGCTGGTCACAAAAGGGAAAATGAGAGATTCAAAGCACAAGAGGGTTTAGACATTCTTTGGTTGGATTGACGATGGAGGGCCACATGGCAAAGAACGCCTGAGGCTCTGGGAGCTGAGAGTGGCGCCCAGCTCACAGCCACCAGGAAACAGGATCTACCACCACAAAGAACTGAAACTTGCCAATGAGAAGAATGAGCTTGGCAGTGGATTTCCCCCAGCACTGGCCCAGCAGACACCTTGATTTCAGCGTTGGGAAACCCTGGGCAGCAGACCCCGCCATGTCGTGCTGGACTTCTGATTTGCAGAATTGTGAACTAATAAGTGGGTGGTGTTGTATGCTGCTAAGTCTGCGATCATCTGTTGTCAACTCATAGAAGACTAATGCACCGGCTGAGTCTCTTGCATTGTTTTCTGAATTTCTTCTGTACTAATACATCACTATTTTTAAAAGAGCCTGGACTATATAAGAAAAGGAAGAGGAGTTATTTTATGCCTTTTAATGGGTAGTTTCTATTAACCTCTATGAAGGAAAAAGAACATGTCCCTCCAATTGTCATCATGAGCTGTTAATATCTCCCAATGGTTCTTATAAAAACTAAGCACACTGGCTTTGGAATTAACCCCATCGGGATCCTAATCCTGGTCCAAACGCTTACTAGCTGTTTAGCCTTGGGAAAATCATTCAACTCCTGTCTCCTCATCTGTGACAATCAGTTTGTCTGTGAAGATTAAGTAAAATTGCCCATCTGGAAGGGCCTAACACATACTAGTTGCACAATAAATGCTGATTTCCTTTCTTTACCAAATAATTTCTAATATTCCCCCTGGTCTACTGTTTTTTTTTCATTGTTTGTCTATCATCTCATGTTATATTATTTTATGTGTGGTAGAAGAAATACTACACATACTGAAAGCTATGGCAAAGTAAACTCTTGGGGAACAGGCTCCTATGTCCAGTGTAGGACCATTCAGATTTACCTCAATCTTAAATAAAAAGAGATTTTTGTGATAGGGAATTAACACTAGTAAAATTTCAGCAGCCAATGAGGTGAAGTGAGAAATGGCCAAGACTGTGCAGGACAGGTGCTGCTGGTGGTCCCGGAACTTGACTGACGGGGGCCCCTGAGTTGCCTCATTGGCCCCTGGGGCTGGGTGATGAAGGTGGGGTGAGGAACAGTCCTCACACAGATACAAGCACATCACCTAATACTTCCAGAGTGACCGTATCCTCTTCCAGGTTCTGGCCTTGCTCAGACGGGGCGCTAATTTCACAACGATATTTCCCGGCATCATTTCTTGTAACATTTTTGATCCGTATACTGAAATCTATCAACTCAGCTCGATCTTTAAAATCACCTTTTAGAAAAAGAAGACAATGATGTTAATAATAATGCATGTAACCTTCTGTCTACGACCTTTCTCAAGTTCTTCATTCAGTAACCAAAACATATCTTTTTCTGTGAATAAACTCGATTTCAAAACTTAAAAGTTGTATATGGGGGCTGCTATTTCAAATTTCTTTCTTTTAGAATGACATACTGTTCACCAAAGAATATTCCATTTCATCTTCCCATATTTTATTTTAAAGTGTTCAACTCTCATTCCTGTCTTACTCCCTTTTTAACATGCTTATAAAAATATCACTTTGTGGGGGTGTAAAAGTCTAACTATTACATCGTTTTGTATACCTGAAACTAATAATAAAAAAACTATGGCGGCAGCTGGGTGGCTCAGTTGGTTAGAGTGCGAGCTCTGAGCAACAGGGTTGCCAGTTCGATTCCCACATGGGCCAGTGAGCTGCGCCCTCCACAACTAAGATTGAAGGACAACTTGACTTGGAGCTGATGGGTCCTGGGAAAAACACAATGTTCCCCAATAAAGTTAAAAAAAATAATAATAAATAAAATAAATGCTAAAATTTCTTTATATATATATAAAAAAATACTATGAAATTCTATTTTGAAAAACAAAACAAAACTCCTGTCTTCCAAAGATACCGGACAGCCTAGTTTCATTAGCTGGGATAGTAACTTTATGTGCTGTGTGGTGCCCCACATGGTACTGTCAGAAAGAAAAGGTAAGGGAGTCTTAAAAACATTCTTTTGGTTCGTTTTTGATAGTAATAGGCACAGAATTAAAATAGCACTTTGTGTAACATTCAGATGTCAGAATTGGCAACTGTAGAAAATTCAAGTAAAGATAGCTGTACCATTAGCACCTTGAAGTCTATAGCCTTATCTTCATGGATAAGAACCAGATATTTTAAATTTTACATGAACTTTAAACATTTGTTGGCTTGCTTAATTCTTTAAAATTAAAGTAATACATAGTATTTTAAAATAATAACGTGTACTATACTTGTTAAATTGTATTTCCAACTTTTAAAATATTTGTAATGGAAAATTTCAAGCATCCACAAAATTAGAGAGTATAGTAAAATGAACCTCAATGTACCCATCACCTCAGCAAATAGTAATCGATGAACAGCTTGTTTATTTCATTTGTCCCTCTTACCAATGAATTATTTGGAAGCAAATCCCCAACATCATGGCATTTCATTCACCATTATCAACACTTCAAATTAAAAAGCTCATCACATAATCAATAGGAAAAATAGGGAGTAGAAAGAAACGTAAAACAAATTTAAAAAGAAAGCAATGGATAATAGGTAGTTGTATTTACCCTCCCTAAGCTTCCCAGTGATGGTCTAGCTTTCTAGATGGAGATATGGAAATACGGGGAAGTTATGATCACTGAGCAGTGACCCTCCATCCCAACCCCACATTGTCTTTTCTCTAGAGAGTTTAATCTACTGGGTCAGTAAGAACAATTGCATTTTATACCTTCTAGGACAGAGCTGAGAAATGAAAGCTCTAGGACCTCAGTGGTTCACCTACTTCTGTTTTCTGTTCTCTGTTTCTGTGGTTGTGTTCTAGGTCTCAGTCACTCACTGTTGGTTTCATTTCACGCTTATAAAAACACATTTTCAGTTATCAGCCATGTCCTGTTCTCATTTGAAAATTAAAGCATCCGGGCTCTGCTCGGTGTTTGTTCTCTTGCTGAGGCCTCATTAAGTCCACCGCCTCTTACCTTGAAGAGCCTGTTGATAGTAGACAAAGGAGACGCTCGGCCCCAGCTTCTTCCACTCTAATCTGAAGGCAATGGTCTTCTTTGGGTACTTACAGGCTAAAATCACCTCTAGAAAGAACAACAAAAAATACTTATTTGCTAATTGTCCCCTGAAATTACATTTTACTTAATTCAGCAATAAATTTTTTAACACCCTTAAGTTATTCCTTTATATTTCTATTCATCCATCCATTCATGCGTAAATTACCTCAACAGATACCATGTTGGTTTAACCCAAAGATGAGCTTAAAGCATCACAGCTCTTCCACATAATACCTGTGTGACACTATGCTACTTTCCCTAATTCTTGAGCCTCAGTTACCATCTGTAAAATAAGAGTATCTCATAGTATTCTTGTGAACCTTCAAATACAATAATATATGCATAGTAAGTACTTGAAAATGGCAGCTGTGGTTAATTATTTATCTTATTCTTTCCACTATCAGTCTTCAAGGATTTTATAGGCTGGAAAAAGAGGCAAAAGGATAATATAAGTTCAGTCCAATGTGACGAGTGTGAGGATGAAGGTAAGCAGAGGGTACTTCCCATCTAGTGCCCAAGAAAGTCACGTTAGTCCAGCACAGGCTATTCTGAAGTTTATGGAAACCCACAAACGTTCCTTCAACACGCTACATTCTCACTCAAATCCCCTCTTTGATAACCCTCTCTATGAATAGTCATACAAACCCAATGTAGACTTCTAATAAATTGTTGATCCCTACCTCTTAGCTCAATCCAGGTAAGCTATTAAAATATTTAATCTTGGCATCAAGCTTAACTTCCTCAATGGAGCTCACTAAGGTCACTTTACTACAAGAAATTTGCTCCAGTGATATCATTAAAGAATTCCTGGAACCTCCTCTTTTTAACTGTCTAAACAGGATGATTGACAGGGGAAAACCCGGTGCCTGACTGCCAACTGCCTCAAATTGCCAAATGGAAACCTCTAGGTCTAAATATTGGTAAAGTATATTTCAGCCAGATTCTCCAGAGTGTCAACTTCATACTTCTAAGATTGTTTTGTCCCCACAATGCATATAGTTCGACCAAAAGGCACAGTATCTTTAACTATATTCTTTTGAATACAATCTGAGTTTGATGTTAAACAGATTTAATGACATTTTTAAAAAGAATTCAGCATATTACATGATATGGTAGATTAGAGAGTAACACTTAAAATATTATCCCAGGTTTTATTAAAAATGTACACAAAGTTATGGACAAAAAGTCTGTATAAATATGTATGAAAATATTAACCCATTGATGATTTCTGTGATATAATTATGGCCTTTTTGTTATATGTAGCTTGTAGGTATTTTAGTTCACATATATTGCTAGAAATATAGAAATGGAATAAAAGGTAATGGAAAATTGAAAGTAGGACAAAGAAAAGCATGGAACAAAAAAACCCCCAAAAGTTGTTTTTAAGAATGCCTAAAGTTTTAAAAGCAGATTTTACATTACAAAGAGACATCATTTTATAGATGTGTTTACAGTTATGCTACAAAGACAAATGTGTGCTGAGGGATTTGTCTGAGGAAACGCAGTTCTGTTCTGTTGATTAAGGAGAATGGGTGGTGACTTCCCGGAGTCTTGAGTTTTAGATAGGTTTCCTTCCCGTATTTTGTTGAGTTTCCAACAATTAAACACACACCCACATGCATTGTTAGACCATACTCCTAGGCCTTAGGAATAAGTTTACACTCAAATAATCACATAGTTTCATTTATTTAAATACACACACACACACACACACACACACACACACACACACACACACACACATATCTTGGCAAATTCTTCCTAACTTGTGTTCTCATTCCTCCATGGAAAACCTCTGTAGAAATTATATTAAAAAATGTAACCTGTTATTTTCCTAAATGCAGTGACTCCACTTCTGCCTCACTCGCACTGGCCATGTAAAATGTGGAGAGATGTTCTATCCAATTTGTCCAAAATATATTTAGTACTTCCACTGCGTGTCCAGCATTGTTCTTGAGCTATATCAGTAAGCAAAACAAAGCACTCTGCCCTTTCGGATCTTACAATTTTCGGGGGGCGGGGGAGTCAGGCACACAAGAAACATCATCAAGTGAATTATATAATATGTTAGGAGGTGATGAGTGCTATGGAAATAGAGTAGATCAGAGTACAAGGGGTTTGAGAGTGCTGGGGGATAGGTGTGCTATTTAAAAATTAGGCTAGACAGAGTTCACCTTATTTAGAAGGTGGCATTTGACCTTTGACCAAAGACTTAAAAGAGGGAATTAGTCTTCTTTAGAATTCAAATTAGAATACCTTGGAATTTGAATTTAGAATTTGCCATGTAGTTCTTTTGGGAGTGTTCCAAGCAAGGAACTAGCCAGTGCCTAGATCCTAAGGTGACAATATCTTGACCTCCAGAACCATGGAAAACAGTAAATCTACTGGAATCATGAGGATAAAGAACCACGTGAACTTGGACTCTAGCTACGATGGACTCTCCTCTCTCTTCTCAGCCAAAATTCAGCACTCGGGGCCAGCATAATTCTGCATCTAGTCCTCAGGATTATCCTGCCATAATATAGTAGCTTAAAGCACAGGCTTTTGAGTTGGACCTGTGCCATATAGTAAGTGTGGGATTTGGGGCAAATTACTTAACTTTTTTTTCACCAGTATATTCATATCTGTAAAATGAAAAAACTAAACTAAAATAAAATAACAGTACTTATCTCATAAAGTTGTAAGGATTGATAGTTGACACATTTATACACTTGAGTACACATGGTACTTTGCCTATAGCTGTGTTCCATAAATGGTCAGTATTAATTGCATCCATGAGAAATGTCTCTTAGTTGTAGTTGTAAGCTTGCCTTGACATAATGAAAATCCACTTTATACCAACATAAACTTACCTAAAAATCATTCAGATTTGAACTAAAATGGTACTTCTGTTTGAGACAGCAAAGAAAATAATATAGAGATAAATCATATTTTCTCAAAATAAGGCATATTGAAACAGAAATATACACCAAGTTTTTCCATTAAGATGATTATTTCATTGCCAAAAGTACGTTTTCATTTGGATTGAGAAAAGATAATTCTTTGTTTAGTAAAAAAAAAAGCATTAGCAACAATTAGTTTGCATGTAGCAAAACAGTCACTTTTTAGGAATCACATAGATTCATTGTGAATTTTAATTCTTCTAGGCTTCTGAACAGCTATGTTTTTATTTTATTCTCTGTGTTCAAGTTAAAAATTATCAAAATCTTACATAATGCAAGGAGAGAATTGATGCTACCAAAGTAGCTCTGAAGAATTACCAGAAATCACTTTTGTGGGGAAAAGCAGGCTGTTAAACTCTGATTAGTAGCTCTCAGCGTTAGACATTCTCTGTGTAAGGCTGCCTATATAATTTATAGGGCTGGCCAAACTGCCTTCATTTCAGTCTCATTATGCTTTTGGCACCACTATGGGAAGTGATGCAGAACAATGCACTAAAAAGAAGGAACTAATTCACGATTTATTGACATCAGAGAGACAAGAGACAAAAGAAAATGAATGAATTGGGTGGAACCCACATATACACAAATCATAAAATATTTTAGACATTAACTAAAATTAAATTACTGCATAAAATATCCTAAAACTAAAATGTGGAAGAAGATAGATATTTATTTTTACTTTATGGAGAGTCAAGTTGGGGTGTCTGGGGCACATAGATAATAGAGTCAAAATGTAATTCCTAATTTAAAAGAGCAGAGATAAAATTTAAAAAAACAGAAAATACTTACTTGGGGATAAGTAAAACTCACATTTCATTGCAGTAAAATACAAAAGGATTTTCTACATTAAAAACAAAACACACATTGAAAAGGAACGTAAACGGTACAGGGTTTTAGTTTGGAGCGATAGAAATGTTTTGGAACTAGACAGACAGAGGTGGGCGTTGCTCAGCATTGTGAATGTACGAAATGCCACTGAATTGTTCACTTTAACATTATGTGAAATTCACCTCAATACATTTTTAAAAAATGAATGGCAGACTAAAGCATATAATTTTGGCATCCTAATTCAGATATTGTGCCATAGGGCCTGGGGAGGCAGTGATGTATATCCATGGTATCTAGTTGGATGGACCCAACAGTAAGAACCTCCAGAAAAGTAGAGTAAGTGAAACTCACTTCACTTCCTTTGTCCCTTGGACGTCTTGACCCATCTTTTCCTCTCACTGTGCTCACTCACTCTTCTGGTCTTTCTGGTCTCTGGCACCATGTCCAGCCCTGTTTGCCTGTCCTACAAGTACACTCTGTGGTCCCAAATTACTCCCATTCATTAATTTCCTCTTCCCACCTCTCCCATTTACAACTAAGTCATGATAAAGAGTGAGTGTTTTATTACCTTAATTATGTACAATAAGTGCTATTACACTGGCTAAATACTAATTCATTTAATTCCTCCCCACCCCAGTCTTCTTTAATCTTTGTCTCTCTCCTTCAAACCTCTCTCTCTTCCAAACCCAGGAACCTAAGACATGCCCGAAGAAGAGGGATCAGGCATTCAGGACTTGTTTCTTACATGTTTACAATCTCTGGCCTAAACAAGCATCACATTCAAGAAACAGTCATTCTTCTATTTGCCTAGTATTATTAACTGTGTTCTAGGTAAAAGGTCCTTTGGAAAATTATTTGATACAATATATGAAGTGAACTTATAAAAGCCCTTATGAATTTTTCTTGCTTATCAGAGCCTTTACAGATTTTTTTTAAATGTGGTAATATACACATAGCTTAAACTTTACCACCTTAATGATTTTTAACTGTACAGTTCAGTAGCATTAAGTATATTCACATTGGTGGGCAACCAATATCCAGAACATTTTCATCTTGCAAAACTGAAACTTTACACTCATTCCCTACAAACTCCCCCTTAGAACTATTTTAAGAAGCTAAAATAAATAACAAAACAGTACCCCAAAATAGGTTATATTAATGCCATCTTAAATACATTAAGTAGGGTGGGGTTTGCAGTGTTAATTTCCATTTGCCCTGTCTACCTGGCCGGAAACTTTGTAAGATCTCCATCTCCCATTGTCACAAATTAGATTTGCTTTGTTGCAGACAATTTACGTAATAAGAGACCTTCTTTGTACATTAGGTCTTTCATCGAATGTCCAAAATTTCCATTGAGTGGGTAGAGAAAGAGTTCTCAACGCAGAAAGAGCAGGGAACAGCATTTCAGGCAGAAGAATTAGTATGAGGTGAGGCAGAGAGCCGGGATAAATAGAAAGATAACATCACATGTGTCATACTCATGAGTCATTTAAACAACACAGTCCGTGAAAATCAGTAAGGTACTCTACCTTGGTACTCTATTGCTGTGACTACTTTATGGTCTTTTGGGGCAGAGAATCCATAGGCCTTATGATCTGGAAGATTAAAACAGATAGGATAATTAAAATAGTACAAAAGGCCATTTTTAAATGTGTGAATGGGATGCAATATTAAAGAAAACTGGCCTCAAGTTTAGTGACAGTTTCACACAGTTCATAACACATAAGTTTTAAAGTATTAAAATAAGAAAAAGTAAGCCAAACCATTATATGTCTCTTCTACTTTCTGTATTGTGGTTTTGCCCTTTAAGTATTTCCCAAAGGAGAACCCATAAATCTATTAGGGACCCACCACAGGCAATATACTCTCACAAGCCCAGTTGTTAAACAAGAGTTTATGTCCCTAATTCAGGTAATATGCAATGTCACAGGGTATTGTCCCCCCAATAAAAGCTAATAATTTTTAGCACCCCATTCAAGGGTATAAGTTGTTTCATGAACTTATCCCTGACTATACCTAGATCATATAGAAATGAGTCACTATGGTGATTATGGTGGCTAATGTGATCTGATAGTTATATGGTGGTGGTGACGATGATGATGATGATGATATCATTCCATAATCTTTTATAAAATTGGCATTTTAAAAAGTGCTTATACATACTTTTTTGTTCTATAAAATTCAATACTCAGGCTAGACATTATTTTCTTTCAAATTTTTTAAAATTTATTTTTCAATTACAATTGACATACACTATTATATTAGTTTCAGGTGTACAGCACAGTGGTCAGACATTCATATAGCTTATGAATAGAATAGACATTGCTAAGACTTAAACAACAAAGTAGCAGAACCAGGAATTAAAACTTTCTAATTCAATCTTTGATATGTATCACTTTGTGTTATGGATAGATATCATGCTATCTTCCAGTTGAATGACCATATTCAAAAATAATTTAAATCATTCCTTATAAGTATTTATCTCTAAAATACAAATGTTACCAGGGAAAGAGTTTTGTGTGTTGCATTCTCTGATATAGCCTGAACACCTAGAGCTGCGCCTGACATAAAGCAAGGCACAGTAAATATTTGCTGAACAAATAAATCATACCACTCTTATTGTATACTAATGAGAAGAATCCAGAAAAAGGGGTTCAGATCAAAATGACCCTCATGAAGGGTTTCTGAAGACAAGCAATTCTTTTTGGAAAGTATTGTAAGTATAGAATATTGGATTGGTATTAATAATTTGAAAATAAGAATAATGCAAAGCATTCTTGTTGGTTACCTTGAGCAAACAATTTAGGCAAAACAATCCAACTGTTGTTTCTCATTATTCATGAAAAAAATCATATAAGAAATAACCTGAGACGAAATTAAACTGATCACAAAATTTTAAAGGTAGTTATTTCTTGAAGATATATTTCTACAATTTACTAAAAATGCTGCTTCTCTGTTCATGTTACCCTCTGTTTTCTGTCTTCATATGATCCACAGACTCTGTTTTCACCAAGGCAAAAATGACCTCTTTGTCACCATATCTAATGGACACCTTTCAGTTTTTATCTTACTTGATCTCTCTATGACATCTGATTCTGCTGACTTCCTTAGATTGTGTGACATGACTCTCTTCTAGTCTTCACTCTGTCTCCCTTCTGGGTTCTTCCTTGTTCTTTCCATCCATCCATCCATACATCCATCCATCCATCCATCCATCCATCCATCCATCCATCCATCCATCCATCAATCCATCCATCCAGGAACTGCTTTTCTGACTCAACTAACTCCTTTCTATATAATCTCTTAAAATCTCATTTACTCAACTACCATTTCTTTGCTCAAAATTCCTAAATCTGTACCTCCAGCTAATTTCTTTCCTGAGAACAAATCCATAAACTCCTCTTTCTACAGGATATCTATATCCCCATTTCCTATAAGCACCACAAACTCATGAGCAAAAATAACCCTTTAGGTTTGCCCCCAAACTTTGTTTTCTTTCTCTAAATCCCATCACAGTGAAAAGCACCACAATCCATATGGTCACTTATGCCGGAAACTCAGGTGTTGCCCATGATGTAACCATATTCCCATTCATTTATTCATCAGTTTCCATCTATAGACTGAGAGCTGTGCGTCATCCAGGACGACGTTTTGGGATATTTTCCCTCCCCCACCTCCATGCAGCCAAGTGCTCTTTGCCTCAGGAGGGCATGCAGGTGGCCAAAATCAGAGAGAGAAGAGCAGGGTACTTCCTGACTTTCCACATTTAGAAACGCTGGCCACAAGGGAAATGAAAATGACTCAGAGTTTACATAAACATTTAAGAAAAATCATCCTCACTTAAAGCCTAAAGGTAGAGAGAGAGGAGGAAGTGAGTTGGAGAACATGGATATTAGTAAGCTCTCGAGAAAGAATAACAATAGCTAACACTTATTAAGCATTTAGAGCTTAGGCAATGTCCCCAGTGCTTTACAAGGATTAACTCATTTAATTCTCACAACAATTTTCTGTGGTAGGGTACCATTTTTTAGCCACATTTTTTTCAGGTGGGGAAACTGAGGCACAGAGAGGGTAGGAAACTTGGCCAAGGTTATACAAGTAGTCAGCGGTGGAGGTGGGACTTGAACTTAACCAGTCTATACCCAAAGCCCACTGAGTTTATTATTAACTATACTGGGCCACACATCAGGTCCCCACAAGCTAAACAATGAGCAAGTTGCACATTAACAAAGATTGCACATGACAGGTGGAAAGGTCCGTTGGTCTAATGAAGGTCAAACAGGTTGAGAAATTGGAGGTTATATTGAAGGCAAAGGACTGGCTCAGAAGCGCAACAGAAGGCGGAAGCTAAGAGGCTGTGACAGGAGAAGCAGGCTAACAAGGTAATCTCAGAGCAGAGGCTCCAGGTGAGGGTTGCTCAGTCTTCACACTATTGACATTGGGGCCGGATCATTCTTTACTGTGGGGGGCTGTCCTGCGCACTGTAGGAGGTTTTGCAGAATCCCTGGCCTCTACCCACTAGATGCCAGTAACATGCCCCTCCCGTGGCACCCCAAGTCTTAACAACCAACAGTGTTTCTATATACTGCTAAATGCTAAGGATAGAGGTGGGGAGATCATACCTGGCTGAAAAACCAGTGCTCTAGACTTACAGCTAGGCTGGTTTGAAGAACCAGGAATAGAAATCAACAAATAGGGCCAGTCAAGTAGCTCAGTTGGTTAAGAGTGCGAGCTCTGAGCAACAGGGTTGCCGGTTCAATTCCCACGTGGGCCACTGAGCTGCACCCAAGCTGCCCGAGCTGAGCTGCTGCTGAGCTGCCAACAGGTGGCAGGATGTCTCAGCTGGTGAGAGCACGTGCTCCTAACAACAAGCTTTCCGGTTGGGCTCGAGCATGGGATGGTGGCTACACCCACCCACAACTAAGATTGAACAAAGCACCTTGAGCTGAGCTGCCATGAGCTGCCAACTGGCAGCCGGATGGCAACTGGACTTGGAGCTGAGCTAGCTGCGCCCTCTACAACTAAGATTGAAGGACAACAACTTGGCTGTTCCCCTTCCCCAATTCCCCAACACTGTTCCCCTTCCCAATAAAAAACAAATAATAATAAAGAAATAAACAAATAGACTAAAGGAAGGCAAAGAACCATGAGTTCAAAGATTTTGGAAGTTCCTATGAGGAATTCTTATCAAGTTTTTTTAACTATGAAATAATCTATTACATTTCTGGGAAGGAGAGAAAAATCTTTCATACAACATAGCATCTTCTCTTTGATTTACTTATCTATATTTATATTAACATGGAAATTAGTATTTCAGTATGCTAGACTTTATCACCCCTAAGAAACACACTATTCAGAATATATGTATATTATACACATATAAACATATTTTATATATCTATATATAGATAGATAGATAGATATGTAATATATCTTTTCTTTCCTCTCCCTTAGAAGCCTAGACAGCAAATCGTGAAAAGAAAAGCTCAAAAATCTACAGGCCTCGAATATCTAGCTCCCCTGTCGAATATTATTCAACTATTCAGGTTCTACACTTTTAACTTGTAAACATCTTCATTAGGGAAATTGGCAAACCTGGTGTCTATATGAAGAACGTAGGACTGAACTAATCCCTTTTATTGACAGCTGTAAATATATTTGCATTAAGCTGTGACCCATGGGTATCAGGGCCACCAAAGAGTAATTTCAAAATAACTCTTTGGCTTGTGTGTTTCAAAAACCATGAAGGGACCCACACAGTCTTAAAATATCCCTTTCCCCCCTTTTCATGCACTCTGTCACATACCAGATATGTCCCATGTTCCTCTGAGCTCCACCCTCCTGCCTCCTCAGGTCTTCCTTTTCCAGCTTCTCCACCCACTTCTTCCCCAATTTAGTCCTGTAGAGACCAAAGGGAGGGTCCTGATCTTCAGAGAGCAAAGGAAGGGAAGAGGCTAAGCCGGCCAAGCCGGAATCCTCTAAGTGAGCTAGAGAAAAGACAGGGCCTCGTGTGTTCTTGTTACACGACATCGAAATTTAAATGAGATGAATGTTTTTACCAATGATTCTCATTGCAAACCATTATCCTGTGAAACTTTCAAAGCTTTCAAAGTGCGCTTTGACAAAGTCTCTTTTCTCCTTTAGCAACATGAGCGTTAGTGCCCTCAGAGACTTTCCAGTTAGGGCTGGCATGTCTTGTGATTTTTTTAACTATTTTAGCACTTTTTAGACAAAACAGTGAAGACTCATATTCCCTAGAAACCGGTTGAGGGGAAAAACCTGGGCAAAATAGGAAGAGAGAATCTTTGTTCCCACCACATCATGCTATCTTTGAACTTTCCAAGCACCCACCACACTGCCTGCTCAGTGTTTATTTTCTTCAGGAGGCTTGGGGTTTCTTTCATTTGAGGCGAACGTTAGGCCAATCTGAGCCTGGAAGATTTAGGACTGGGGTTAAATCATTTCCTTCCTTTGCAATTTTTCTACTTGCTTAAACTTCCTTTGAGAAAAATTTCTTATATTTTCAAAAATCACTTTCAAAGTTCTTTGGAAAATGACAGTTGTTAACTTCAGATTTTCTTAAGTTCCTCATAAC